TAAGTCACATTTTAAAATTACAAAATCCAGTACATTACACCACAAAATATTTTAGTAGATAATAACAATTTACCTTTCCTCAGCTGAATAATTTGTAATACAAGTAGTTAATATTCTTAATGAAAGCAAACAAATTATAATGAATAACCCTAGCAAACCTTGTAAATTCACCCTAGAATACTTGTAATATAAGTAACATGATGCCTAAGAAAGAACTTTAAATTCCTACAAATAGTCAGTTGTGGGCTATCGTTAGTAAGGAAAAGAAGCTCTTGTTTGAATTGAATACTTCACCTGTGCGTCTACGAGGAAAATCAACAAACAAATCTTTTGCTGCAGCCATCAAATGATCAGATTTCTCCAACACATCCTGCATCTGGTATTGATCAGAAAGAATCTGGATACATGTTAACGAAAAATATTAACATTCAGAAAAAATATATTTCCTTTTCAAATCACAAAGGAAAAGACCATTCAAAGGCGTGGAGCATAAAAATAACCATAGGCCATTCCACTACCTTTCTAAAATCCTTCAGTGGCAATATCTGTAAGTACCAGTAGATGGGGCTATTACAATAATTAGTGGCTTTCAAATGCTTGGCTGCAATCCAAAGAAATAACATCAAATCGTGACCAAGTACACTCACATAAATACAAATATATATAATGTGTGTATATATATATATGTATGTGTGTTTTGTATATTTTTATATATATAAAACAAAATAAAAAATTTACTTAAACTTGCTGCATGAGACCCACTATGATATTTTCTTTTTAATTTCTATTCTATTTTTTTAAATGATGGTTGCAACTCACTAACTTGATTTCACAATCCATTAACAAATTAGGATCCACAGTTTGAAAAGTACAGATTAAAGATATGAATCTTTGAGCTATAAACTCAGAGGTGTTTCAACCGCTAAAGTGATTTCATAATCCACTAATGGGTCATGATCCACAACTTAAAAAACATGATGTATAATATGTGTTTTAGGATGTAAGATCTGAGTGGTAGGATTAAATAAAAATATTATGCCTCTGTGTTTATAAACAAGTCAGTTTTTTATCCTGGAGAGGTGGAGACTCAAAAAATACCATTATCGTATTATTATATACTGATTATATACTTTCTGATTATATACTTTCAACTTAGGAACTTTCATAATTACAAGCAAGGCCACAGGCTAGAGCAAAAGCAAGATAACTCTATCCACCACCACCAGATGATATTCTTAAGTTGAAAGAGACTCAAAATTGGAAATTGTACAGTTTCCAACACTGACTCAAATCGATAAAACATCTAACAACAAATACTCTTACCAGAATTTCTGTGTACCATGTAAACAAGTATATAATGTGACTTCGGTTATTATTTTAGGACAGAAAGAGAAAAATAACAAAAGTCACATTCCTAATTTTTCCCCTTCTTTCCCTGCTATGGGCAAACAGGTTGGCTGGCTCAGCTGGGGAGAAAAAAGTCCTGAATTTATTCCTTCCACAAAAAGTAACCTTTGGAATAGTATGCGGTTGGAGTACATTTGGAGCCAGAATACAGGGGTTTTAGGCCCAGTCAAGTAATGCTAAGCAAAATCCAATCTATTTAAACTTAGTTTCCTGATATATAAATGGAGATACAACCATCTCCCAACTCTACAGGGGTGTTACAGGATATGGACACACTGAAAACCTGTATAGCACTCCAGAGATGTTTAAGAACGTTGTTACAACTTATATTATCCCATAAACCAAATTTCTATCCCTGCTTAGCCATCTTGCAAGTACATGCAATTAAGAGCTTAGTAATCAGTGAATGCGTCTGTATAACCTATCACTAGAAAAATTACACAAAGCCTATTGGCAATGTTAAGAGTTTACTATTTAAAAAATAGCACTGACCTTCTACCAAAATAAGGAGATAGAACTGACAGATGCTGATTGTAGAGGAATAATCTTATTAATCATATTGAAACCTGATATTAATTATAATAAGTTCTCAAGTAAAGCCATTCTCCTGCCACCATTAGCTAGTCTCTGCCCTTTGGGCAGATGGTTTGAGTGGCCAAAGATCAGTGCATTGGCTTTCCTTTCTAGATTTATCACTCCTGTTATCAGTTTATCTTGATAGATAAACTGATCTCTGCAAGTCCAACTGTATATATTACTTCCCCAGAAGGGTTTGCAGAGCATAAATTTAAAAAGTGGTGGTATATATCTTGAATTTTTGAAGGATCAGTCAAGGTCCCTGTAAGAAAACATTATCGGACACTCCTCATCCTAGCCCTCTGGTTCTGTGCTAAGAGAAACCAGATGGAATTGGGAAATTACAAAGAGACTTGGGGAAATTATAAAAATATTTATGAAAGCCTCCCTCTCTATGAGTTGGATTTGAACTCTAATGTGCTTGATTCCCATGGCATGGGTGCATCACACAGCAAATGAAATCTAAGATTACGCTGGCCAAAGAACTTTCTCTTAATTTATATTAATCTAAGAGCTCAGCTTCATGGGGATGGGTCCTGGTAGCTTTAATACATAATGATTTAGCCTATGTGGAGATGCCTAAGAAGGCTTCTTCCTTTGGTCCCATCACATCTCTTAAACAAACATTACATATTTAGCAATATTCAAATAAAAGACGCACATCTCCTTTGACTCAGCAATTCTACTTCTAAGAATTTATCCCATAAATATACTTATACATGTATCCAAAAATATATTCAAGGATATTCATTATATTATTTATAGTGGCAAGGTGGGAGTCTGGCACTGCACCACAAGGGGGCTGCCTTTTTTCCTGGTCAGATCTGTTTTTAGGCCTTTCACTGAGAATAATTGTACAACATTTAAATGTACATGACTGTAAAGAAGCATTCTTTCTCAAACAATCCAGTGTTCTTTTCTCAAGTTCTTATAAAAATTTATTTGGGAGATACCATTCTTCCTGACGATGTATAAAATTGAGGCTTTATTTCACTAAGAAGCCTAATGAATTCCTCAAAAGGCAGAGTATGATTCAAAGCTGCCATGAAAGGTCACCTAGATAGCCAAGTGTCATAAGCTTCAACCTCAACAAGGAACAATGCTACATACAAAGCACATTCTTTTACAACGATTTCAACTCAAATACAGCAATACAACTGCTGTGATTTCTTCTTATTTCCCATATTGTTTTTTTTTTTTTTTTTGAGACAGAGTCTCACTGT